CCTGACCGGCGTGACGCGCGCCAGCACCTGCAGCACCACGTTTGCGTAGTCGTTGGCCTTCATGTTGTTGAGGCCCACCAGGCCGGGCATGTACTCGCCGCCGTCCAAGGCGCGCACCCACGACACGTCAGCGTCCAGCTTGGACACCTGGTGGCGGCGGGGAAGGGCGGGCGCGCGCGCCGTCGCGATGCGTGTGGGTGTGCGCGTGTGTGTCTGTGTGGTGAGATAACTTGAGGCAGAGCTTGTTTGTGCACACACGCGTGTGTGTGCACGCGCGTCTGTGGATGTATATTCGTGTGTGTGCACCAAGCGCTCACGTGCACGCTTGAGTGCACGCGCGCGTGTGCGTGTGTGTATGTGTGCATATGTGCATGTGTGCATGTGTGCATGTGTGTGTGCGCGCGCGTGCGCGCGCATGCACGTATGCACGTGTGTGCGCATGTGTGTATGGGCACGTACGTGCGTTCGATGGACTCATTCGCTCCCTCTTGCGGTCCGACCAGCGGCCCAAACCCAGCAGCGCCAACCCCCCCAACAGGCACCCATCCCGCCTCCATGCAGCACCTGCTGCCGCGTGAACGAGGGGTTGAGCACGGCCCTGATGTCATCCAGGGAGCGGTCCACGACCTCGTAGTTGTCGGGGAGGCAGTACACCTGGTGCGGCGGCGGTGACGGGCGCGTCAACAGTGGGGGAAGTTGGGTCGACAGCGTGGGGAGGTGGGTCAACAGATTTGGGGGGGGGAGAGGAGGTTGGGTCCAAGGGGGAGAGAGGGGAGAAACGGATGCAGGGGTTCGGGCGGAAGGCGAGAGGGAGAGTCCAGGGGGGTTTGGTGCGCCAGGGGGGGGGGTGCTGGTGAGCATACGGCCTGGTGATGCTGGCGGCTGGGCCTTTGACGGGGCGCGACGGGGCACGCGCGCTCCCCGCGACACGGCCTGCTTGATCCTTGGTCCCCTTGCCCGTGCCCCAACCCGCCTGCAACGCCTAGTATTTCCCGCTGTCCGTCTTCAGCGCCACACACACACACACGTGTGCGCACACACATTCTCCCTATATTATACACACAATCTCGCACGCGCGCACACACACACACTCTCTCTCTTGCACGCAGCCGTGTCCACTCTACATGATTGCACACAAAGACACACATGAACACACCACGACCACCATCCTGTCACCCAGCTTAACCACAACCCTCACCCATGCCTACACACGTCCCGGAACACGCGCGCTCACACACCAACACACACACACACACAGCGCCCCCCCACCTTCCCGCTGTCCAGCTTCATGAACATGTGGTGGTTGGTCTCAAGGGAGTGGGTGAACGCGTGGGTGCTCAGGCCGCGGCCCTGGTGGGCGGCAAA